CCGTGTGTCTCGGCTCATGCTTTCTTGCATGGGAGGGCATCCGCTGTGGCCCCTAGGCTGTGCCCCATTGTCATATGCCCTGAGTCATGCTTCCCAGCAAGGGAGGGAAGCTGCTGGCAGCCTTGGGCTGCACCTCCTTGCATCAGAGGGCAGCTGCTCTCTGCCCCGCCATGTGCTCCGGGCCGGGAGGCTGTTCTCCCTTGCATCCTAACTCTGAATCGCAGTACTCCAGGAAACGGGGCTTTCAGAAAGCCCCCAACCATTGGGAGACCCACGATAAAATCATGAGCCCCGGCAAGACGAGTGCCACCTGCCTCATGGGTCAGATACTTGCAGGTCACTTTTTGGCAGTGGAGGGCTTTGGCGTGCAGCTCTTACTGAGTGACGGACTCCTTCGGCCCGCCCTGCACAGTCCCCTCCTGGGAGAGCGAAACGGTGTCCTGGCGCAATGGATCCCCTGCGGCTAGATAAATGCCGAGGAAAAGCCAAATCATTTAGCAAAAATAAACGCTGAGGCAGGCAGACCTTGAAATGTTTATTTTCAATCTTGGAGCCATTCATCCCGCGACACTGCTCTGTTCCAAGGAGTCTCCCTCTGTTTATAGCAGATGATTAATGAGACACGCGTTGTCATTATCTCTGATGGATGTTGTAGTCACCAAGGCAAAGTATCCCGCCCTCCGTTCCCGTTGCAGCTACTGGAATATTCTGATTGGCTTAGAGAACAGATTTTCTTTTTGGTTCATCCAGTCAGAAACCAGCTTTTTGCTTCCTTCCTTTTATTTTCAACCGCACGACTCCATTTCTGACTGGTGGACGCATTTATTACGGCGTTGCCAAATTTTGCTCCAAACCTCCGGATAATATTAGCTCCTATATTCCCAGCCATCGGTCTATAAAAGTGCTTTACAAAGCTAGGCAAATTTTCCCTATTTTACCCCAACCACTGTGGAGACTGATCATGAGGAACTGGGTCTGAAGAGAGCTTGCTCTCCATCTCAGCGTTTCAGGGGCACATGGCGGCCCTTCCTCACAGGGAGGTGAGGCCCAGAGCACATGCAGTTCCCCACGCTCATGGCTTGGGGGACATGGTAGCTGCCCTCCCTTACAACCCCACAGGGCACAGAGAGTAGGGCAGTAGACTGCTTCACAGGGAGGTGTGGCTATAGCCACACAAAGCCGCCCTCTCTCACAGGGTGGATGGCCCAACCACAAGCTGGCTGCCGTTCCTCACAGGATGCACAGCTTGGGGTACAAGGTAGCCACTCTCTCTGGGCAATCCCAGAAAACATGGCAGCCACCCTCCCTTGCAAGGAGGCACAGACCAGGTAACATAGCAGACGCATACACGGCCCACCACATGTGTCCGACCCCACTTGAAGGGTGCTGAGGTCCCATGGAAATGGCAGCCTCCCTCCCTCTCAGCAAGGCGTGGCCCAGAGCAAACGTGGCTGCCCACCTTCTCAGGGTGGCACAGCCCTAAGAACACGGCCGCCGCCCTCCCTTGTGGGGAAATGTGGCCTGGGGCACACACGCCTGATGAGCCGTGAGGTCTGGAGGACACAGTGGCAGCCATTCCCTGCAAGGTAGCAGGACACAAGGAACAGGACAACCGCCCTACTTCATAGCACGGATGTGGCCACACGTGATTGTCCCCACTCACGGGGTGGTGCAGCCCTGGTAATATGGCAGCCGCTGTCCCTTGCGGGGAGGCGCGACCCAATTCACAAGCAGCTGCCCACCCTGGCAGGATGGCACAGGCCTGGTAACACAGCAGCCGCCCTTCCTCCCATCTCTTCCTAGCAATCCTTGTTCCTGGAACAACACCCATCAACGTCAAAGAATCCAAAGCCCCCTCTACAGCACCATTGTGGCCCCCGGCGCAGCCACGGTGTGGCAGCTTGAGGAACATGGTCCAGTCATCACGGCTGGTCTCTCTGGCAGTCTGGTGCAGTCTGAGGGAAGCTGTTTGGGATTCGCTTTACAGGCTTTGAACTCTTTTAAGATGTGGGTTGCTGCAGAAGCAGCTGACGTGTCTGTCAGCATCTGACCGTCTAGAAATGAATCTACTGGCTTGCCATGGACCTCTAGAGTACTTAAACACTGAGGGTATGTCTACACTACCCCGTAGTTCGAACTAGCGGGGTAATGTAGGCATACCGCACTTGCAAATGAAGCCCGGGATTTGAATTTCCCGGGCTTCATTTGCATAAGCGGAGCGCCGCCATTTTTAAAACCCCGCTCGTTCGAACCCCGTGCAGCGCGGCTACACGGGGCACGAACTAGGTAGTACGTAGTGGTGAGATAGTGAGGATGTAACATAACGCCCTTGGCAAATAATGCATTTTAAAAAAAATTAGCCTACTAGGAAACATACATACATTTCCCAAACACAGATTTTCCATTCTGAAGCCAAGCCACTACAACATAGTCCAACAAACAAGTGTTCCTTTAACACGTCCGGCCCGTCTCCCTTCCCCGGGCTCCACTCACAGTCGTCCTCAGCAGTGGAGATGCAGAGTTCAGTGGTGCTATCGGGTGAGATCACCTCCCACCCAGGGGAGCAGAGAGGAGAAGGTACTTTGCTCATTCCTCTTGCTCTGTGCCGTTCTCTCCACTGCTCATCACCGATGGTCCTACACTGCCTCCACTGTGACCTCTTCAAGTTGTTCTCTTGAGGCAGGGGCTGATCTTAGGGGTGGATACCTGGGTGATGATCCAGGGAAGCTAGTGGCCAAGGGTTGGCTGAGAAGCAGCACAGAGGTGTGCACTTTCGAGGTGCTAAAATGCAAGCTTGCTCATGGTTCTACCTGGCTCTCAGTGATTTCAGCCCACAGTGGAGGAACCGCGCTGAGAGTGCAGGCTGCGCTGTTTGCTCCACAGAAACATTGTCCCACAACAGGGCTCAGGATTTACACCCGATTATTAGTGATTGCCACTCTAGTGGTCTCTTAACAAAAGCCTCAGAGTGGAGCCTAATCAGCCCCCTCTTTAAACAGGGGCGAGGGACCAGTCCAATAAAGCCTGTGACTCCTCGACAGATCCACATCACCAAGCAACAGACACGTCCCCACCCTCTCTGTCCCCACTGGAATCGGGCCTCTAAATCCGCTGCTTGGCAAGTGCAGCTCCACGGCCGGGACCGGCGCTTAATTCCCAATGAAGGAGGTGCTGGGCCTCAAGCAATTAGGTGCCACAGCTCAAGCAAGTTTTTTACTTTCAAAATAGATGGGGCAAGCCGAGGTCCCAGGGCTGCGAGCTGACACGTGCCAAGGCTCAGCCTGGCCGAAGAGAAGCGCTGAGGCCAAGCCCTCCGTCAGGACACGCTGTGGACAGTTCTCTGGCCCTTTACTCACACCATAAGGAGAACATTTCATTACCACTGCACCCAGTAAAGAGATTTGTAACTCACAACCAGCCAGAACTGATGGCTTGGGCAAAACTGCTCTGTCCACAGCACACCCTTGGTGGAGTGCGTAAGTTCATGTAAATACAGCCTGGTCCTGAACCTCTCCTCCCCGACCCACTGCTTATCAACAGCTGTCCTTTAAGAGCTCATTCAGACCTGGCTCGCAAGTCATCATTCGAAATGATTAGGTTGGCCAATATCACTGAAACGAATGTGCCAACATTGGCATCCACAGCAGCAGCTGCGTGAGGAAGCTAATCTTTGGTCACGGCTACATTTCTATCACTAACCTTTGGTCAGACATTTCAAACTTAGGGTCTGTCTACACTGCCACCCTAGTTCGAGCTAGGGTGGCTAATGTAGGCATTCGAACTTGCAAACGAAGCCCGAGATTTAAATATCCCGGGCTTTATTTGCATCTTCCCAGGCACTGCCATTTTTAAATGCTCCATAGTTCGAACTCCCTGCCTGCAATGAGGAGTAACGGTAGTTTGAATTAGGAGCTTTAATTCGAACTACCCAGTCCGTGCCGCGTGTAACCACGGGCAGAGGGTTCGAACTACGGGGCATTTAAAAATGGCAGCGCCTGGGAACATGCAAATAAGTCCCGGGATATTTAAATCCTGGGCTTCGTTTGCAAATTCGAATGCCTACATTAGCCACCCTAGTTCGAACTAGGGTGGCAGTGTAGACATACTCTTAGACTTTTTCAGACACACATAGGGTCCATGGGAAATGCTTTCAAAGTGCATACTGATGTTTCAGTTTCAATTCAAATTTCCAACCAATGACTAAATTAGCAGCACTGCGTGTAACTAGTTGACCATTGGGGGTGGGGCGATGGGGAAATTCAGGGGGGTTTACACCCTCCCTCGGGGGAAATAGAGAAATCCCAGTGTGAAGGTTGAGGATGTCTCAAGACATGTAGGCTGGGAAGGAGCCAGTGTCTGTGGTACATGTGGGTACTAATGCCATGGGGAGTAGTAGGAGAGAGGTCCTAGAGGACAAAATTAGGCTACTAGGGAAGAGCCTGAAGTCCACGACCTTCCTGGTAGCATTCTCAGAGATGCTCCCAGTCCCACACACAGAGCCAGTCTGACAGGCCAAACTGCAGGACCCTAAACTGTGAATGAGACAATGGTGTAGGGAGAAGGGTTTAAATGTATCAGGAACAGGGGGTCAGGGGTGCGAAGGCCAAGACACGAATAGGACTCAAAAAAGAGCCAAATTCATGCAGGTTAGGTCCATTGGTGGCTGTTAGCCAGGGTGATGTCCGGAGCCTCTGTTTGTCAGATGCTGGGAATGGGGAAGAGGGGAGGCTCACCTGATGATCACCAGGTCTGGTTGGTCTCTCTGAAGCGTCTGGCGTGGCCTCTGCCAGATGACCGGACACTGAACTAACCAGGCCTTTGGTCTGAGCAGTATGGCCCTGATCGCCTATTATTGTGTTCCCATGGTAACCAAGTTCCAGCATCTCTTCTAGCCTAGCTGGAGTCCCCAGATACACGGGCTCCAACAGCCTTGTGTCATGGTTACTGTTGCCTTGACAACGAAGCACCAGCATTCCCTTCTTCCTGAATACTGTTGCCGTGGTAGCCGAGGCCTGAGCAGCATCCTTTCCTCCCCTTCAAACCTCCCCATCCCTTTCCCATGCTGGGACCCATCCAGACCAGGAGTGTGTGATCTCCAGCTGCAGCATCCACATGCAAGAGCAGGCATGCAGCAGACAGACAGGCACCAGCTGGGGGAGCCAGGCCTAGGAGCATAGCAGCTTGGCACACATAGCTATCTTTGAAACTACCAGAATATTTCAGCGGTAAGCAGTGCTACAGTGGGGGTGGCGTGGGGACCCAAGCTGACCTTGAGATAGCAGGGATGGGATGCTCAATTTGACTTGGGGACTGCGGGTATTTCACAGCTATGGACAGCCAAACAGAAAGGGCCAGGAATGCAATCTTAGCACTGATTTTTCAGGCTCTTTTACCTCCATGAAACTTATTGGCTGTGTCTAGACTGGCAAGTTTGATTTTGCGGAAAAACTTGCCAGCTGTCTACACTGGCTGCTTGAATTTCCGGAAAAGCACTGACGATCTCCTGTAAAATCATCAGTGCTTTTCCGGAAATACTATGCTGCTCCCGTTCGGGCAAAAGTCTTTTTCCGAAAGATTTTTGCGCAAAAGGGACAGTGTAGACAGCATAGTACTGTTTTCCGCAAAAAAGCCCCGATGGCGAAAATGACGATCGGGGCTTTTTTGCGGAAAACCGCGTCTAGATTGGCCACGGACGCTTGTCTGCAAAAAGTGCTTTTGCGGAAAAGCATCCTGCCAATCTAGATGTGCTTTTCCGAAAATGCTTTTAACAGAAATCTTTTCCGTTAAAAGCATTTTCGGAAAATCATGCCAGTATAGACGTAGCCATTGTGTTCCTTTAGACCTTGTTTTCCTTACCTACGTTGGACATGTTTGTAAATACAACTGGATCTGTCTGAAGCTGGGCAAGAAGAAGGGATAAAAGAGGCTCCCACTAACCCAGAGACAGGTGTCTGAGTTCCATCGTGTGGGTGTGTCCTTGTGAGCGGCATCGTGCAGGGTCTATTACGTTCATTTGTGATGATGTGTTTGCTGGTGGTAGGCAATGCAGCACTTCCAGTAAAAAGCGCACCGGGGCCTGTGCTCAAATTAATCACTCATGTATATGAGCCCAAAGCAACAGTGCAAACCAGGGGAGCTACAGCCGCTTACTGCAGGGCTGAATCGCTCTGTTGCCATGAGCCAAGACGCTGCCTCATACACTGCATTAGTGCTGAGGTGATGGAGAGGGCTAGTGATGGGGGAGCATGCCAGATGTTGGGGAAAGGGCTCTATGTGTTCTGTCCACGTGTCGCGATGCACTAGCCAGTTCTCTTCCTCTTCATCCGGCTTGTTCATTTATTGAGTATTCAACCACCTCACAGGTTTGGTGATTCCTTTTCAGACAATTGGCTCGTCTTGTCCAGTACTCTGCCTCCAACAGTGACCAACACAACTGCTCCAAGACAAAGCCGATATCCATAACACATCTAGCATTGGGCAGTGAGGACACCTTCCTGACACTGCAGAAGCGCCCTGAAGCATGAGGGCTGTTTGACTTATGCAAAATTATTGGTGGGTATAAACGGATCCAAATCACTAACAAATGCAGCCTTATTCCACTCCACTGCTTAGCATGCTATAAACAGCGCTTGGAAGATTCGATGGGAATACATCCCCTCTGGAAGCCCTCCTCTCCTGGGTCTAGGAGCAACCTAGATCTCAGCAATCCATGAGGGTCTGGGCGATAAGAAACTTTCCAGAATTGAAATGTAAGCGAGGGCTGGGCTAGAATGATTCTGGGCCTGGCTTTTGAGCACAAACTTTTCTCTCCCCTCATTCCCTGCCCTCCATGGATGAGAGCTGAGAATGTCAGTGCAGCAGGTCGAATAGTCCAGGGCTGGCATGTTAGGAGAGAGCATGTGGACAGAGGGGAGTGAGTATCCAGCAATAGGGTATGCGGGAGGCTCCGGGCTGTAACAGCACAAACCTCTCCTCAAGAAACCCTGCAAAGATCTGTGTTGAGAGCAACAGAATAAGTCCTGGCTGACTTGTGACCGGTTTGGATTTCCACTCCGGCCGTTACCCTTCCAACTGCGTTTGTCTGGAACTATGACTTTCTTTTTGGGCTAACTGTTGCCTTCTGCTCCGCCCATGACATGCCCTGTCGCTAACATGCCAGGTGCCTGTTGAACACTCCAGTATACACTTAGCTCTGATTTATTAAGCCAGTTCCCATACAGATTATTAGAAACATATTTTTGGAAATGTAATGGCCATGGAGCAGACATGTAGTCATTACAGAATTGTTAATATTCTATCAATGTGTTTTTAATCATGTCTGTATTTAACATACAACAACTGTCCTACTAAATGTAATGTATATTTGTCAGTCTTCATATAAAGCCTTGTAGGGTTTGGCTTGGCTTTGTTTCCTCGTTAAGTTCTGCTGTGCGGGGAGAGATTGCAGATTTTGAAAGCAGACTTTACCAAATTGAGAGAGAGACAGAGACAGAGGGATCCTCACAAGTGCTCCAGCACCTTAGAGTGTGTGAGAACAGGCAGATAGGGATGGATTTGCTCCATAGAAGACGTTTTTCGCCCATATTGCTTATTAAGAGGCAGCTCTGTCTAGTGGGTGGTGTGCTTGTCTAGCAATCGGATGATCTGAGTTCTAACTCATGTCACGTCTCTGTTTCCCCTTAGATCATAAGGCCTTGATAGCCTTTCTCTGCCCTGCACTTAGCACAATGGGGCCCAGATCTCAGCTGAGGCCTTGAGGTTCTGCTGGATTTGAGTGAGGAGCAGGGCTAGGAAGAGAGGAACTCTTTAAGGGGATGCATAGCATGCTACCACCAGAATTAGAAGATAGCAGGGACAGTATGTCTTTGAATGCTACAGCCATCGAACAAAACCATTGGTATTGGTACACGCTCGGCCCCTCTGAAAAATCAGGCAGACATGCCACCCTCTCTCTCATTGCTCCTTCCTCACTGTGTTTTTCCTGGGCATGCCAACAAAGAGAGATGTGCAGGAGATGGAGGGGAGAGCCCAGTAAAAAGTTTCAAAAGGGGAGAGGAAGGAAATTGTGCAATATTTTGAAATGTCTAACTCATTTCTCTTTTGCAGATTTCGCAATAGGCTTGTTTTTCTGGAATCTGTTCGCACTTTTATCGAAAATTTACTCATCCCCAATTCGGGAGCAAGGTTTTCAGTAAAAAAAAAAATATTGTATAAATGTCAGAAACTCCACTAACAACAGTACTTTGGGCCTTGTTCTTACAATGCAGAGGGAGTGTAAAAAGCGCCCCATAGTCCCACACAATCTTGCGGAATAAACTACGTAAGCCCGGCTGACTTTTAAACCACCTTCAGACTTGATGTCGGATAGAGCCTCATTCCCATCCAGATGACTGACTGGTCCCTAACACCTGCTGGTGGCAGGAGAAGAAGGCTGAGAGAGGAAAGAATTCATGTTACACTATTTTCGCTGGAAAAATAAACCCTTGTCACAGCTTGAAGCAAAAGCCTGCCTCATGCCTTCATGCTTCTGCGAGATGGCTGCCGTCATTCAAAAATGAACATAAGGAATGACATCAGGAACGCCCGGCTGGTCTCAATTCCCTCTCTGCAGGCAGCCCTGCCAATAAAAATCAGCAAGGAAAAGGATTCTGAAACAGGAAGTCAGGTCAACCCACCTGTGGAAATCAAATTAACCCTTTGCTCCTTACACATCCGGGTTAAGAGCCCACGGCCTATTGGTTAATCCAGCAGGATGAAGGAAACTATCCAGCACAAAGCACATTTTTATGCTTGTAAAAATATCCAGAGTGGCATGTTCAGATATTTGCATCAGACATGCTTGTTCAGTCACCAGATCAAGGAACTGGAACCGTGCCATATTATGTGGGTATTGGTCTTTGAATGTCTTTATTACTCATATTTGCCTGTTTGTGTCGATCCATCTGTTGACGCTTTAAAGCTGTCACCCGTCATATAGTGCCTCCAGTTTAGAAAGTCAGTCAAATTCATACCTGGCATGTCACCAGAGCTGAACCAAATCATAAGTCACATGGTATTGTTTCTGTTTCCTGATTGGAGAAGGGTCTGCATGCTTCTGGTGCATGAAGAACATAAGAACATAAAAATGGCCATACTGGGTCAGAGAAAAGGTCCATCTAGCCCAGTGGCCAGCGCCAGGTGCCCCAGAGGGGAGGGACCAAAGACAATGATCAAGCAATTTGTCTCCTGCCATCCTTCTCCAGCCTTTAACAAACAGAGGCCAGGGGCACATTCCTTACCCCCTGGCTAATAGCCTTTTATGGACCTAACCTCCACGAATTTATCTAGCTCTTTTTTAAACTCTGTTATAGTCCTAGCCTTCACAACCTTCTCTGGCAAGGAGTTCCACAGGTTGTTTAATGCAAGTGTTTTCACCAACTAGAATTGGATCACTTGAATGTTCAAAGAAAGCAAAGGGACTACAGGGCGTGATACCTCATCCTAGGGGCCTTAGGGGCAATTAACTCACCTGGTTGCCCATGGAAAGCGAATCAGGCCTAATTAATGATGGCACCCATCTGGGGAGAGGCTGAGTGTGCATAAACAGCATGGGCTGTGTCTAGACTGTCACGATTTTCCGCAAATGCTTTTAATGGAAAAGTTTTGCGTTAAAAGCATTTGGGGAAAAGAGCGTCTAGATTGGCATGGACGCTTTTCTGCAAAAGCACTTTTTGCAGAAAAGCATCCATGCCAATCTAGACACATTTTTTCCGCAAAAAAGCCCCAATCACCATTTTCGTGATTGGGGCTTTTTTGCGCAAAACAAATCTGAGCTGTCCACACTGGTCCTTTTGCACAAAAGCTTTGCGCAAAAGGACTTTTGCCCGAACGGGAGCAGCATAGTATTTCTGCAAGAAGCACTGATTTCTTACATGAGATCGTCAGTGTTCTTGCGGAAATTCAAGCGGCCAATTCAATTGCAGCTGCTTTTGCAAAAAAACTTGCCAGTCTAGACACACCCCGGGTGAAGCAGCAGACACACGGGCCAAGCCACCAGGCGCAAAGAAGACCCCAACCACAAATGCCAAGAAGAAGCCAACAGGCTGATCTCTGTGTCACACGGTTCTCATTTGCTTTGGCTTCTCCTGCAATTTCTTCTCAATATTTAGCCAGTAATGACCCAAACTCCAGCCTGTAGAATTCTACAGCAAGGACTGAAAAAACCCACCAACCACGCAGCCTGCGCTCAGCCAACCAAGAGGGGTGTTCTCTCTCATCGTTCATTTTCAACAGGACTGTGAGGCAGCTCTTGCTAAGCCAGGGGCCTGGGTCTCATTAGCGTTTATTAAGCACCAGAGATCTTGAGCTGCAAGTGCTGAGTGATGAGCCAATGAGCAGTTCCGCTAATTCTGGGGTGGGGGAGGAGAAAATGCTGCAACGTTTGTAACTAAGGAGCCAGGGCCAGTTGTTTAGTTTCAGGGAATTCTTTTGCTCCTGTTCTGTTGTCAGTGCAGGGCCCAGGTTAAACCCAGGAGCCGCTGCGTTACTTCCAGGGTGGGTTTGGGGTGGGGGTGGCCTTTTAGAGCAGGGGATCACAAAACCAAGCTAAAACCATGCAATTGGGCTACATGGTTAACTCCATCAGCAGGAGGTTGGGGAAGGAGACCAAGATGGACTTCTCCACCCCTGGCAAAGCTTGTACATTTCTGCAGAAGAGGAAGGTTTTTCTGTACCTTTCCCAGGGTGACCTTGAGTTTCATGAGCCAGGCCTTAAAACACAGAGCGACCCACCAGCAACCCCAATCAGAACCGGAAAGAGGAACGCAAATGGCAGCATCTGGTTTGGGGGCAAGATGCGGAACATCCCAAGCGCTGGGGGAGGTTTAGACCACAGTGCAGTCTTGGGGACTTCGTCAGGTGGGCTGGCATTTGCAAAATGGGGAATTTGGTTCTGATTTTGGACCCACTGCCAGATAGGACAGAGGAGTTGGGGGGTTGAGATTCCCGTGCCTGTCGCTGTGCCCAACCATCGCTTTTGCTTGTGCTCAGAGTTTAGCTCACAGGTGGGGTGCTGTAGAGTATGCCCAAGGCTTCTGCTTTGCAGGGTTTAGTATCTTCATTTCCCCAGGTTTATTTTACCAATGTTGAGCTCTATGTCAATATCTAAAAATCTAGGGGGGAGAAGTTTTCTCTTTGTAGGTACGCTGAGTGCTGTTTAGATCAGTGCTACGTTAAAGCACAGTGAGAAGCATTTGCCGCACACCAGCAGGGGCTATATGGAGCAACTGATGCACAACACCATGCACTATTGCAGTCCTTGCTCCATTAATGCTCCATGTAGACAAAACTTGGGACAGCGCCCATATAAATCAACAGCACTGGGAAAGGTGTGAAGTCTGTGCAAACGGAGTAACCGTTCCCAGTGTTTGTTGAATAAATACTAATGCCCTTTTTGTCGTGGGGATGTTTTAGGGGTGTTTATTGGTTAAAACATTGGCGTGTATGCGGTAATGTAAATAGAAGCCAGCTGTTGCTCTGTTCTCTATGCACTACACCTATCACAGTTGCAGAATCCCCCGGCTTGCGTTCCTGTTCCAGAGCAGAAGGGGATAGAGAGTCCCTCTGTGCTCACTCAGTCACAAATTTGTCTGTAGTGGGCTTTGACTCCTGCCTGCTCTTTGTCCTGGGACCCAGTCAGCTGTGGCTGGGTCCCAGGAGAAAGAGCAGGCAGGAATCAAAGTGCTTCCTTGTGGCTCCCATGGTCTGATGAGCTCCTGTCCTGTGCATGCTCAGAATTGCTGTGTGTCCGCAGAGCACTTTGTTCATCACATGTGGGGCTTCATGCTCTAGGTGAAGTAACTACTAATCCTTAAAGTACAGCTAATTGAGTCTAGTCCAATTATCAGTTGCCCCTCCTACTCCTCCCCCCCCCCCCCCCCCACACACACCAAAATCTTCTGTCTCCTAATTGGCAACGGCTACCTGTCATTTTGTAGGGGTTTGGGATGCAGGCTGGCTTGTCTCTACCTGAGATGATCAGCCTCTGGCTATGAACTGTCTATGGCCTGTGACAAACTTGGCCCCAACCCATCCCTGTGCTGGGCATTGATTCTGTCCCGGGAATGGGAATGGGAATGGGAATGGGAATGGGAATTTCCAGCAGGGAAACAGGCCCAACACTTCCACAGCTTACTGGGCTGTTAGAAGACACGTGGGGTAAATTAGCGCTAAATAACAACACAGAACCCTGAGAGCCAGGACTGATGGCTGTAAACAAATTGTATTGGACAGAGAGAAACTTGGCCACACCCATGCTAAGTGGATCTTCGGGTAACGAGTGAGTGGTGGGCGAGAGAGGTTCAACCTGTAGTTTAATTCTTTTGGGCCTCACACTTTCTGAGTGAGAAACGTGATTGCCCCTTGTCGGACTAGGCAGAAAACAGCTGAAACAGTAAAAATTTTACTAACTTTGCATTTTTCCTCATCCCAAATTAGTACCAAAAAATAAAAATCTCTCTTTTTTTATATGAATCAGCAAACTGAAAATATTTCTCAGGTCAGTCAAAATACTTAATTTCTATTTCCACCTTTTGTGTGTGTGTGTTTTTTTAACTTTTTTAGGAGACATTAAAGTACATTTTGAAATAAAATTTCCAACCAAAAATATCAGAGGGGTAGCCGTGTTAGTCTGAATCTGCAAAAGTGGAGAGGAATCAGATGCATCTGACGAAGTGGGTCTTTGCCCACGAAAGCTTATGCTCCAACACTTCAGTTAGTCTGTAAGGTGCCACAGGATTCCTCGCCTCTTCAACCAAAAATACTGAAACTTTTTATTGTGAAAAGGTTGAAATATCCTTCAGAACAGGTTTAAATTTTTTTTCCAAGTTGGAAAATTTGTCAAAAATGACCTTTTTCCACCAAAAGTTTCAGTTTCAATGAACAGACTTTTTTTGTCAAAAAATGCCCAGCCAGCTCAACTTTTGGGCATTTTGTCCAGCAGTTTGCCTCTAGCAACCCAATTAAGGAACTGCACATGGGATCTTCCAAGTGTTCGCTGTAAGCTGGACAGTTGTGTGGCCACTCAGGAGAAAGTTCCAGTGCTACCCAACTGATTAACAAAGCACCCAGTGCTAGGGTTTGTGTTTCTATTGGTGGTGCACATTCATACATGCCTTGGTGCACATAAAATATTCTGCACAAGGATGGAAAAAGTATGAACATGGCTGGAAAAGATTAGAGGACACATTGATCTGTATCCATAAATGGCACTGAAGTGCCCACCACTGTCCTGGCCAATGTGACAGCTAAGTGTGTGTCACCAGATGCAATGTAAGAGGTGCCAATGTGTGTGCACATGGATGCATACATCTGTATGTCACTCTCCAGTGACAAATATACACTCTAAGGCTACGTCTACACCGTCATGGTTTTCCGCAAATGCTTTTAACGGAAAAGTTTTCCATTAAAAGCATTTGCGGAAAAGAGAGTCTAGATTGGCACGGACGCTTTTCCACAAAAACACTTTTTGCGGAAAAGTGTCCATGCCAATGTAGACGCGCTTTTCCGCAAAAAAGCCCCGATCGCC